GTGGGTTCAGATCCTGGGGACAGACCTACACACCGCTCATCGAGCCATGCTGTGGTGGCATCCCACGTACAAAAAAAAATAGAGGAAGATTGGCACAGGTGTTAGCTCAGGGACAATCTTCCTCACCAGAAAAAAAAGAGAATCAAATATGTGGCTTTTCCTGGCACTTCACATATTGCGGTGATCAAGAAATGGAGAACAGAGGAATATTAAATATTTCTCTGCAAAGTACACATTTTCTGACCCAACGTCAATTTAATCAGACTCTTGACTGATTAAGGAGTAGTAAAGATGTAAATTTATCTATGTAAAAAGCCTTGCAAAGTTTTTGACTTCTAATCACAAGAAGCCATGCATTTATTTGTAGAAAAATATATAAACGTTTAGTCAAAATATACATTATGCATCAATTGGTGGACTATTTACATATTCAAAATCCTGAGTCTCCTGGAAAATCTGGAATGTCAAGCCAGATTCCACAACCACGAACTTCGGAAAGCACTTCTTCCTTACTCTGGCAAATTGGGCTGGCTTCCCAAAACTTTGTTGGCCAGCTTTGGGGAGGTGTACTTTTTAAGAAAAATTTCAACTTGCTAAGTGAGTGGAGAGTGGGGTTTAAATTTAAGGTAGAAGACATTAGCCTACTCTGGTAATTCTAAAGAACACCGTGTGCTTCCCATTCGAGCAGGACACAAAGGAAATTGAGTCATCAGCTTCTTGCTGTGCAAACCCCCAGAATTTCTCTCTGGGCAGGGAAGATCCCCTTGAGAACCACACTGTGTCTAGCAGCATCTGTCACCTGCCCCGGCCCATTCTTTCACAAGAGTCACTTCCCCTCCAGGCACTAGGTGGAGGCGGTTAACATGGGGGTGCTGAGGACACAGAGCTGCTGCCCCAGCCCAGCCGGGACAGACTGCTGGGGAGGCCTAGCTTGCCTCCCACCACCTCTGCTCTGCCAGGGGACCCCAGCCGGGCACCATCCGACTCTGCAGGCTGATCTGAAATCTCGCTTGGGTGGCCCCTGTCACTTAGAGCTCCACATTGCCTTTCAGTTCAACATCCTTGACTTTTCCAGAGAACCGTGTCAGCCCACTGCCTGGGATCCTCAAGACTTTCCCTCGCTGGGGCACAGAAAACCAATCTGCTAAATGCCAAGGGTTTCCAAGGAGCATGTGATAAGCGGGCTTTCTGGGTCAATGCATCTAAATTGCTTGCAGGGTTAGCATGAGAGTCTCTGCAAGGCCTCTTTCTTAATTTTCAGGCGGAGGGCATTGCCCTAACTTGTCTCTTGGACAAGGAGCAGCCTCTCCCTTTTTTCCAAGCCTGCAAATGAGAGCATGTCTAGAAGGGCAACTGGACCCTGATAAGGGAATTGACTTATTTTCGTAACAAATAACTAGGCTGGCATCTCTTGACAGCTGTGGCCAAGCCTGGGGAGAGACAGGCCAGGGCGGAGCAGAAAAGGGCAGCCAAGAGTCCACAGCTTGCCAGGGGGACAGAAGGCAAGCCAGGCTTCACATTAGCCGGCCACAAGGGACAGGGAGGGTGGGAGAAGCACACACAATTCCCAAAGTTCTCCAGAGGCAAAGTGACGCAGCAAAGGAGCTCCGGCATGGAGGCCAACACAGGGGTATGTTAGACCACGGGGTCCCACCTCCACCACTTACTAGCTGTGTGTCCTTGGACAAGTTACGCCTCCCTGAGCCTCCATTTCCTTCTCTAGAAAATGGAGTTAAGAGAGTGCTAATCGTATATAGGGCTATTGTGAGGCTTATACATACGATGACCTATACTAGCCCCCTGGCTGAACGCGTAGTATAGAGTCGGTGCTCGCTAGATGGTATTTCTGGGGTCTTCGGACCTGGCTTTGCACAGGAGCATACAGTGCAGTAGCAGAGGGTGAGGTTTTTAAAACTGGAGTGCTCTTAACTCTGAGGGATCCAGCAATGTTCCTGGAGGCCCTGGGAGCCCCAGGACAATACAGAGACTCTTCCTCGAGCAGCAACTTTGCTTTCTGGTAAGAAATATATATTATTATTCTTATATTAAACTCAAACTGGGTATATCGTGGAGTAAAATACAAAATTGTAATGAGTGTTTAAGCTAGTATTTAAGGCATGAAACAAATACTGTTACACCAGTAGACCTCAACCTGCTTGCCCACTGCAGGGAGTAGACATGGGGGTCATTGTAGTCCTTGGTGACAGGGGTGTTTCAGAGACCCAGCGTATGTTATGGTAGGAAAGTGTCCACCCAAACACTCTGTCTAGGAGAGAGGAAGTCACTCCTCCCTCTCTGTCAGGCTCTGTTTCCTCCTTGGGAAAAAGAAGGGGTTTTTCTGAACGATCCTTGGAGTCCCCGTCTCTGAGTCTATAACAATGAGTCAAGAAATATTTCCTGAATGAATGGACTAGGATCTGTCATAAACTAAGAATTTCGTGCTATCCAGCATCCCCTCTTGCGTGGGGCAATTTGGGGGAAAATGGAATTTTTCCTATTGGCTGCCAGTCTCAGACACACCTACTTGGCATGGCACCTCTGCAGGAGATGTCCAATGTGTATCTGGGGAATAACTGAACAAACTGATACCAACCTCAAGACGGAGCTTTGCTTCTTCACCTGGGAAAACACAGCCAAAGCTCTAACTCCTAGCAAGAGGGGTCTCTAATGCTCAGTGGGAGCAGAAGGGTGCATGGCACCCCCAAGCCCTCAGATGCACCACTCCTTCTCAGATGCACCCCTCTTTCTCAACACCAGGGGCGCAGTTCCCTAGCAATGACCTGCTCACAGAGGAAAGGAGGAGCTGTGAGCAGTGAGGGCTCGTCCCACCTGCCCTCCACCCACGGCCACTTGCTTGCTTCTACATATGACAACTGGTTCAAGGTATCTGTTCTCCAACTCAGGGTTTCTGGGTCCAACGTTGCTTAACTACATTTGTCCATTTCTCTACCTTTTGCTTTCCGAGATGAAGATTGGACCCTTTCTTCCTCTGCAAAGCCTTGCCCCTTTTCAAAGTTTCCTCATTGTCTTCCCGAGTGCCCCCCCCCAGCCCAATGGGGCAACAATAGCGCCTTTCCCTCTGCCTCCTCTTTCTCTTCCCCCATCTGCTTGCCCAGCCCCGGCTGAGCCTGCTGCTAAGTCGTGTCTCCTTTCCAAGTCTCAGTTCCTTCCAAACAACTTTACAAGCACAGGAAAGCCAGGGCCCAGGCAGTTATTGCTACTGGCACTTTTTTGTGCTTCCTCCAAATGACGCTGCCCAAAGGGACCTCAGAAACACGGGACAGAGTGAGCCTCCTGCTCTCTGGGAGAACCTCAAGAGTGAGGACAGTGCCTAACATTTGGGGGTGAGGCCCTTTAAAAGAATCAGGGAGACAGGTTGGAGGGAGTCAGGAGTCAGGATCCTCAGAAACAAAGCAGAAGACTTCACCAGAAGGTAACATACAAATCCACTTCCCTAGAGGCCACAGGGAAGCCAGCAGCACCCCTCTTTCCTAAGGCCAGGCCCAGGGCTCTCCCTGGCCTCAGGCTTCCCTCTGCTCCTCCATCCCCAACGTTTGTCCATGCCATACATAGTCGAACATATTCTGACTAAGCGCAGGCGAATGGGCTTGGGTTCACATCCCGCACCAATGCTTCCGCTGTGTGAACACGAGCAAGTCACTTAACCTCTCTGAGCCTCGGTTTGTTTCCCTCCTGTAAAACAGGGCTACTAACAGGACACTTCTCACTGCGCCATTGTGAGGGTAAAATGAGATAACACATGTAAAGAGCTTAGCCAGATCCTGGCACAGAGAGAGCGGGCAATAAATGGTGGATGGTGCTGTTATTCCTGTTACTATTATTATTTCTGTCTCAGGAATCTAAATCCTAGATCCCACTTATCTTCAGTCTAAAGTACTGAGGTGGGACTGAGTCTTTTGCTTTCTTGGTACCCCCAGAGTTCTGTTTAATAAATACTTGCTGAGTAGAATTAACCACAGGCTGAGCTGTCTTAATGACCCAGCTGGCACTCCTTAAAAGAAAAATTAATTTTGCTGGCGATAAGCAAATCGGCCATGTAATTATCTGTACATATATAGACAAAGAAAACGAACGCCTGGAGTTCAGCCTTGCCGGAGTACCTCACACACAGCCGTCCCTCCCCAGAGGGGCCCCTCCCCACAGCTACCAAGAGGCACAGACCCTGTTTGGGTGGGATATTGGCAGCCCCAGTTCCAGGTCCCTATGCAACCCCAGTGCCCAGGCCGCCCCTGAGGCGGCCGGCAGGGACTGTGACCGACTTTACCCTCGGGATTTCCCCCAACTGACTGGCAGAAGCAGGAGGCCGCGAGGGTTGAGCAGCTGGCCCAGTCACTACCTTTCCTACTCACCCTCTCTGCCCCAGGCTGGCACCTCGTGGAGACCAGGAACCTGGCCACAGAGCCGGTTCAAGTTCCCACAAGCGCTAAGACAGTGACTGGAACCCAACTGCTTTGGAACCCGGCGCGCTGGGGGGCGCAGGAAGCCAGGACCCCCTTCTGGAAAGCTCACTGCCACCAGCTCTCACACATGCAACTGTGCCCACCTCTCTGGCCACCCTGCTGACAGCCCCAGCTCCTGCCCCTGCCGTGTTCCTGCCCCGCCCCGCCCCGCCCGGCCACAGCCCAGCAGGGCGTCGAGCGCCCTTGGGCACTGGAGCCTGTTAGTCCAGCCCGGGCTGCGCTCATCCAGAGTACAGTTACTTTCTGCCTTGTGCTCCGGCTCTAGGGACCGGCCCCAAAGTGCGCGCCGGCAGCCCGCTCTGCACACTTTCTTCGTTCTTTTTCTTTTCCTTTCAAACAAACTGTGCTTCCCATCAACAAACGCGCCAACAGCTTAGCTCAAGTCCTAGCCCCGCTCTCCCGCACCAAATCCAAGCCGCCCGCCGTGCACTTGACTCCGGTCCCCAGGGCCAACTCGGCCGGCCGCAGGGTCAGGCCCGGCCACTGCAGCCGCCCCTCCCGCTGCCGGGCGGGACTCACCGATCTGCGCCAGGCTCAGCTGCACGAGGCACAGTCCCCAGGCTGCGCGCCACCAAACCTTGTCCATGGTGCGGGCGCGAACCGAGCGAGCGGGCGAGTGGAGCCGGGGGTCCCGTGCGCTGGGCGGGGCCCGGGATCGACGGGACGGGGCGAGGAGGGGCCCGAACCTGTCGGAGGCTGGGGTCGGGCTGGGCAATGAGGGCGCCTCGGAAGTTGGGTGCAGTTTTTATTTGAGGCTGAAAGAGTGACCTAAGAGGGAGGGAGCGAGCGAAAGACACACCCAAGCGAGGGGCTGTGACTAAGCAGCCGGCTGAGGTTTAAAGACGTACCAGCCCTCCTCCGCGCCGCCCCGCCGCCGCCACCCGGTTCTCGCCGGAGACGGTAAATGGGGGCGCCGGGAGGGCCGCGGGGTGTCCTGCGCCCAGGACGCACCAGCTTTCTTCTCTCGCCAGCTCCCCGGGTTCGCTGAGAGAGCGGCGTCAGGACAGAGGAGAGGGTGATTGAGTCCTGAGACCTCACCCCGTTGGGTTCAGCCCCTGGCCTGTCCTCTCCGCTAAGTTTCTCTTTGAATCTGACTGGGGAATGATTCTCTCTGTGTTTACAGGCAGCTGGGTATTCTGGGAGAGGAGCTGGAGCAGTGGTGAGATCCTGCCTGTGGATAGTGGTGCTTCCCTGCCCGGGCGAGGAGGGGTGGGGAGCTTATCATGCTTTCCAGGGGAGAGAGGAAGACCTCATTCTTCCCTTGAAAAAGAAGCCAAGTCCAGGGGACTTGGCTCAGGGGATTTTTGCTTCTTATCAGGACTGCTCAGAGAAAGCTAATGATGGCCAGTCATGAGGCTGCTATTTGGCTCCACTAACCCGTGTGTCATCCTCCAGTCCCGGGCTGGCACCTGAATCCACCCACCGCTATTCATCCATCCACTCACCCAGCCTCTCGTTCATCCTCCCAAACATCGTTCCATCCACCCGTTCTCCTATCTACCCATCTTTCCTTACATCCGCCCCCCGCCCTCCCCGCCCCCGGCTCACACATCTATCTATGTTCCCGGCCATCCATTTATCCAACCACCTCTCCTTTCATCTATCCATCCACCCAACCACATATGCTTCCAACTACCCTCTCAAATAATTTCTCATCCATCTTTCCACACATCCTTTTGTATGTCTTTTCATAAACCCACATCCATCTATACACTATCCTCTTCTCCATCCATCTGTCCACATATCTGTTCGTCAGTGTATCCATCCATGGTCCACATATCCCTCATTTTATGCACCTAATCATCCACTCACACATCTATCCTTTCTTTCTTGCTCCCCTTTATACTCCTATCTACACAAACATTAATCCACTTTCCCCCATCTATCCTACCTAGTAACTCTCAGAAAGGGGAGGAGATTGTCATATTCTTCAGGGGAGGCATTTTGAGTTTGAAAAATCATACTTTGCATTATAATTTCATGTCTTCCTATAATATACTGTGGTTTAATATTTGAAAATCAAAAGCAGTGTTTATTGTTGATGTGGACTGCTGGGAGTAAATCCCAACAGACTTCTTGCCTGGTGAGATAAACAGAAAATGACAGTGGTTATTGGTGACTGTGTGGCAAGACCCTAAGGGAGCACGCCAGAATTTCTGAGGGCAAGTAATTCCCCTTTGACTTTGTTATTTATTGAAAGAAATTGAAAAATTGAGAGAAAGTGCACCCAGCCATCCTTTCATTCATTGAACATGTCGTGAGACCTCAGAGGGATCAAGGTAAAGAGGACCTGCTCTGTCTTCAGGGGCCTCACACTTTGGTGGGGAATCAGAGCCACAAGCAGGCTTTTACCACACAATATGAAATGTGCTGCAAAACGTGTGTGTGCAGAGAGCTACGGATCCTGGAGAAGAGAGCCGCACCCTTTCCTGGGGAACACCCAGGGGGCTTCGCAGTGGAGGGGACATCTGAGCCAGGTCCTGAGGAGGAGGAGGAATTCAGAAGAAGCTGTGGGGACAGGGCGTCCGCAGGCAGGGCTCTGTGATACCTAATAGCGAGTGTTCAGGATGCCTGTGTTCTCACCTGCCTCGGCTGCTTACTACCTGTGCGAACTTGACCACGTCAATCAGCCTTTCTGTGCCTCGATTTCCTCAAGTCTCAACTGGGGTAAATCACAGTATCTATTTCACAGAATTGGTGAGGATTAAATAACTCAAAAGTCCTGCGTATATTAAGCACTAGATATATGGGTATATATGCATATAGTAAGCACTATTATATAAGTATTTGCTATTATTACTAAAAGCAAAATCGTGAGTGAGCATGGAAAGGTGGAAGCACATACCTTGTTCAGGCGATGGAGAGCAGTTTGGAATGCCTTGAACATTTGATCAGATGAAGAGCTTGAGGGGGACAGCAAGACATGAGTCTAGAAAAGTAATGAGCCAGCCCTGATGGCCTAGTGGTTAGAAGTTCGGTGCATTCTGCTTTGGTGGCCCAGGTGCGGTTCCCGGGCGTGGAACCACACCCCTCATCTGTCAGTAGCCATGCTGTGGTGGCAGCTCACATAGAAGAACTAGAAGGGCCTACAACTAGAATATACAACTATGTACTGGGGCTTTGGAGAGGAAAAAAAAGAGAGGAAGATTGGCAACAGATGGTAGTTCAGGACTAATCTTTCCCAGCCAAAAAAAAAAAGATAGGTAAGCAGGGGCCAGGGGGCGTTAACTATACTAGGAAGTTTGAACTTGATCCCCAGAAAATAGGGAGTCAATGTAATTTTTATTATTATTGTTGTTAATATTATCATGCTAAAATACACATAACATAAAATTTACCGTTTTAACTATTCAATAGCATTCAGTACATTCACAATTGGGCAGCCATTACCACTGTCTTAGTCAGTTCAGGCTACTCTAACAGAATACCACAGACTGGGTGGCTTAAACAACAGAAATTTATTTCTCGAAGTTCAGGAGGCTGGGAATTCCAAGATCGAGGCGCCAACATGGTTGGGTTCTGGTGAGAGCTCTTTTTCTTGTTTGCAGATGGCTGTCTTCTCCTATCTCCTCAGGATGGGGGCGTGCAGAGAGAGAGAGAGTCTCTTCTTATAGAGGCAGTAATCACATCCATGAGGGCTCTACCCTCATGACCTAATTACCTCCTCGAGGCCCCACCTCCTAAGACCATCACCCTGGGGGTTAGGATTTCAACATATGAATTTTAGCGGGAGACAAACATGCAGTCCCTAACAACCACTGTCTAGTTCAATGTCAGTTTTTGAGTTGGGGACAGCCTGCTTGACAATAGGCTACTCTCTTGTGTTTTCAGGGAGAGTGTTTGGGGCTGAAAAATATCTAGACCTACTCTCCAACCATTCATCGGCTGGTGTTCCATGACTCAAAGGGTGGCCCATCTGAAACAAAGACAGTGCCCCTGAGCCCCACCTGAAGAGAAGGCTCTTTGAAAAGTGCTGCCACTAGTAGCAGAGTTGGCCCTGCTGCTGTCTGTGACCAAGAGGACACTTTCCTCGAACAACTGGGGGCACACTGGCTCCAGGCAGATCTTCAGGCTATAACTCCTGAGAAACCCGCGTGGTGAGTTCCATGGGAAGAGCACTGGATGAGGAGTGGCCTTGGGCAGACTCGTGCTACCTCCAGGGCTTTCAGCTTTCTCTGTTTGGAGAACGGGAGAAGGGGAGTGAAGCAGGAGGGGTATTCCCTGGAAGCAACGTTTGTCTTACTGTGTTTCATGGAACTTGGAGGTTCCTTGGAGGCCCCTTAGAAAAGATACAGAGGACAAAACAAAGGCTTAAGCGTGAGCTGTGCCTTCCCCACCCCTGTTCCCATCCCAACCACAGAAGTTCCACTCACATCAATTTTATACACTAGACCACTGTGAGATTTCATTTTGACAAAGGATTTTACTTTTAAAAAAATATTAAAAACCACTAGACTAGGTCATCTCGAACCCTGGTCCCTTCCTCATTTGTGCAGTAAACAATCAGCAAATGAAGACACTGGTGTGAAAATGCTCTGCAGATTGTACAGGACCATGCAAATTCTAGGGATTGTAATTAGGATTATTCTCGCAGGGGAGAACATTTTGTCTGCCTGCTTCCTGATAGTTTAGTGAGGGAACTGAGGTTGTTTGCCCCCCTGCCACAAATGACTCATTTCAAATAGCTGACCTGGTGACTTGCTGAGTCAGGGCCAGCCTTTGGGAATTCCTGGATCACCTCTCTGAGCTAACCTTCTCATCCTCTCCAGGCACCGCTGCCCACACCACTCGTCTCGAAAAGACTTTCCCATGCTCTTCTTCATGCCTCTGTGAAAATTAAATCCTGAGCGAGTTACTCATTTTAGACATTCACTATCTGTTGCATCTTTTTTTTATTTATTTACTTATTTATTTATTTTTGTGAGGAAGACCAGCCCTGTGCTAACATCTGCCAATCCTCCTCTTTTTTGCTGAGGAAGACTGGCCCTGGGCTAACATCCATGCCCATCTTCCTCTACTTTATGTGGGACGCTGCCACAGCATGGCTTGACAAGCAGTGCGTCAGTGCGCGCCCAGGATCCGAACCGAACCAGCGAACCCCAGGCCGCCGAAGCGGAACGTGCGCACTTAACCGCTTGCGCCACCGGGCCGGCCCCCAGATACCTTTCTAAGCCAAACCTTGGGATGTGGGAAACTGAAAAAGAGAGCTTGAATTGATCTGGGTTGACATGAAACCACACTATTTGGAAAGAATCCACGGCGCAAACAGCAGCCTTGGACTAAGAGAGCCGGAGTCTGAGCACCAGCTCACTTCCTTATCAGCCGGGTGACTCTACTCAGGTCTCTTAAGCTCTGGGAGTTTTGGTTATCCTGTTACAAAATGAGGTTAGTAAGACCGTTCTTGCAGTTTGTTATGAGCAGTAAGTGAAAGAGGCATCAAGACCCTTTACTGGGGTGCCTGCCTCATGGTGGGATTTGATGACCCACCAACCTCTAAGCTACCTGAGGACGGGGACATGTCTGTCTTGGGCAGCAGTACGTAGTTCTCAGTGCCTGACGAGTCCCTGTCTCTGGCATGTGCACCATGGTCAATAATGAGCAGTACATGAATGCATGAATGGCTGTGGTTCTTGTTCCTCCACCACACTCTACAGGGTGACTTCAGGGATCACGCGAGCCGATACGTGGAAACATCTAGACAACTTGACACTTTCTAGACAAATGCAAGCCACAGTGCCATATCTGGGGCACCACTTTCAGAAGACCCAGTGGAGCCAGAGCATGATTCACTCTGGCAGACCAGCATT